TTTAGGGTTTAGGGTGTAGGGGGCCTAGAGCTTGGGGTTCAGGGCGTACCTTAACCCCAAATAACCGATCTTTTCCTGGACTTATGTAAAGAAATCATAACAAGGACCCCTAGAAAGGTAGTAGGGTTTAGGGCCTAGGCCCTACGGTAAGCCCTGAACCGATCGTTGCAGAGACTGCGCTTGAGACCGTGAGTTGGGACTCAGCTCGGAAGGGTTTCGGCTCGTGCTGTCTCGATATGTCGAGCTACGATGCCCAACTTCTGTCTGGTGCTTAGTAGGNNGGTTTAGGGTTTAGGGTGCTTAGTAGGGAATGGGGGAATGGGTTACAGGGACTACTATAAGGGACCTTAAGGAAATATCATAGGGATCCATTCCCCCATTCCCTACTAAGCACCAGACAGACTTCTCGCAAGCCCTGCTGTAAGCCCCCACTGTGGCCAGACCGCCGATGCAGCCCGGGACGGGCATCACGGCAATGCCAGCAGGCGCATAAAGGGTGCCGGAAAGCATCAGACCGTTACGAAAGTTTCGCAAGGGTGAGCGATATCACATGATTTGCATGTATTTTGTTGTTTAAACTGGATACATAAAGTGATGTTTAAGGTAAAACTGGACACAGAAAGCTTTGTAAGTATATCCAGTATGGTTCATACTATTTCACTTTTCATATCGTATAAACCCTAACCCTAACTACTTGGAGGATCACGGAACTTAGTAAGCAGGGTTATAACTACCTTAGTTGGGGTTTTCATTGCTTTTAAGTATAGCTACCTTATTCATAACCCTAGTTACTAAGTCCCATGATCCTCCGAGGAACCTTAACCCCCCCCCCCCCTTATAGAACCCTCATAGATCCCTTTAAGGACCCCTTGAAGGAGCCCTAGTTACTAAGTCCCATGATCCTCCTAAACCCCTAAACCCTAGGCCCATGATCCTCCTAAACCCTAAATTCCCACCCAGGCCTGCTTAGGCCGTGCCCACCCTTCTTCTCGGGTGCCTGGACCGGCAGAGATTGACACCATTACTTTGGAGAGTGGTGAAATTCAGACCCTAGGGCTGAGCCATGCCACTGGGCCACCTGGGTGGCGCCCATATTTTTGCAGGGGAAGTCCCTCGATTCTCAAGAGATTAGAATACCCTAAACCC